AGCGGATTCAATCCCCTTGCAGAGATTTATCGGGCTCAATGCTCGAGTGAGATTTCTTGGGTGAAAGCGTTGAGCTCAATGCTCGAGTGAGATTTCTTGGGTGTAAGCGTTGAATGAAAAGTAGCTGATAAGGCATGTTGATCTGAGTTAGGATGAGAAAAACTGCAGATTCCAAAGCCATTTAAAGTACCGCCGGAAGTTGGAACTAAAATAGAAACAGTATTTTGTCGGGAGCAGGACAAAGTTTGGCAACAATCCCCATTCACATCAAAATCGATGCTCACGACAGGCAAGCCCAAAATCAGGTCAAGCTTTTGTTGGATCATTCACGGGCTCATTGAAATCGGGTTGCCGTCAAATTGGTTTCGTCCGCTTTGCCAGAAAATGGTCAAAAGATGCCCATAATGGGACGATAAAAGGCGGAAAGGCTCATTGAATTTCGTAAAAGTGGGCGTCGGCAAACGTGAGATGCTTTTTCACGTACTCCGAAAATTAATATATTTTACCTCAATTATTGGGGGTTGATTACGTTTTCCATTATGCATTGTTTTTCAAGTGTGCTGTGCTAGAACAAATGCATACCCGCACGAACATGGAATGTATTTACCTCTTAGTTTTTTATGCAATTCTATAAATGTAAATCTTTCGCCAATTGAAGATAAACCTAGAATGCGATTGCCGAATGCGAGGTACTAGAAAAATTGATCTGAATGTTTGTTGGTCGCGTTATAGAACTGATCCTAAGTAAATAAAAGGCCTAAGCAATCATAATTATCTTTTTCACTCGTATCAGATCGACAGTCAAATAAGTGCAGTTGAACAGCAATTATCAAAGAATAAAAGTAAGAATAGTGGCTCCATTTTGCATGCTTTAAGAGAACCAATGAAACTTGGCCAGCTGTGGAGCTTTGGTGCCGACAGCCCTAACGTGGGTTCCAGCTCACAAACCAATGCGTGCAGCAGTATCAATAAAGTTAGTAAGTGCATCCATTATTAAAGCAAAAAAAGGAAAAAGCATNCTGGATCATTCACGGGCTCATTGAAATCGGGTTGCCGTCAAATTGGTTTCGTCCGCTTTGCCAGAAAATGGTCAAAAGATGCCCATAATGGGACGATAAAAGGCTCATTGAATTTCGTAAAAGTGGGCGTCGGCAAACGTGAGATGCTTTTTCACGTACTCCGAAAATTAATACATTTTACCTCAATTATTGGGGGTTGATTACGTTTTCCATTATGCATTGTTTTTCAAGTGTGCTGTGCTAGAACAAATGCATACTCGCACGAACATGGAATGTATTTACCTCTTAGTTTTTTATGCAATTCTATAAATGTAAATCTTTCGCCAATTGAAGATAAACCTAGAATGCGATTGCCGAATGCGAGGTACTAGAAAAATTGATCTGAATGTTTGTTGGTCGCGTTATAGAACTGATCCTAAGTAAATAAAAGGCCTAAGCAATCATAATTATCTTTTTCACTCGTATCAGATCGACAGTCAAATAAGTGCAGTTGAACAGCAATTATCAAAGAATAAAAGTAAGAATAGTGGCTCCATTTTGCATGCTTTAAGAGAACCAATGAAACTTGGCCAGCTGTGGAGCTTTGGTGCCGACAGCCCTAACGTGGGTTCCAGCTCACAAACCAATGTGTGCAGCAGTATCAATAAAGTTAGTAAGTGCATCCATTATTAAAGCAAAAAAAGGAAAAAGCATAGGTCATAATGGGGCAATCCACCATTATTAAAAAAAGAATCTATTCCGGCACGTGCACTCCGAAGGGTGTAAAACCTTTCAAATAAAACCACATGTGGTCCGTTTGAGAGACGTGAAACACTGACAACGCCATGCTTTAGAACAGATACAATATTTAATTCTTTGCTTTGCATCTAGGCCTAACTAAATATTTTATTTGCTAAAATTAAACGGAGAGATATGGGCAACGATAAATAGTGGGCTTAAATCAAACTGAGAACACAAGCGGTCTTGTTTCCCACTTTGTTAACATAATGGCTGAAGATAACCTATGTGCTCTCTTTTTCAAACTGACGGTGCAGGGGGTGACGTGCAGCGATGGGCTCAAGAAGCATATGGAAAACGCCGAAGATGAGCTCAAACCCTTACTGGAGCATGGTCCTCAAGGTGAATCCATGGACATCGATGAAGAAGAAGTCTCGGGGGCCAAACGACTACTGTATCTCTATGTCGACTGCCCGACAATGATGCGCTGCTTTTTTGGGAGATCTATGCCCTATAATTGCAGGGGAGGCACCCTCCTTACCGACCTTCCCCCGTACCATGCTGATGTGTCGCCCCATGAGGTGTCTCGTGGACTCAGGAAGGCAACCGATTTCTTCAGCTATGAGGATGCTATTCGTAGTGCCTACTTCGCTGCCTTTTCTTTCAGCGGGCCAGTCAGAAAGTTGGATCAGCAGCTCGAGCTAACGTCGACAAGAGGAGAGCCCCTGACATTCAGTCTTTATGCACGTAGCCCTGGCCGGCTCGAACCTGGGGAGCTGGTGAGGCATGGCGAGTGCAAGTTTGCAGGCTAGTCGTCGCTGTCTAAAGAATCGGCTGTCACAGCAGCCAAGGGTGCCGTACTTGTTTCAATTTGGAAAATGCATGTAATAACTATATCTGGTTTGATGTAACAGTCCTGGTTTTGAATCTAATGTGTTGTTGTGTTTTAACGGAAGAATGGTTTAATTCATTTATTTTACTGAGGATGTTAGCGTTGACTGTTTACAACAAGTCGGCGGCTTGCTTGGCAAGCAGGAAAATCCGGCTCTTGAATTTTTTTCAAGCAACAACGATATACCGGACCTACGCGCCGCAATTGTTTAATTTCCTAATTTTCTGCTGGCTTTTTGAAAGAACGGCCGACATGTCTTCACAAAGCATGCAAAGTCGTGCTGCCTTGAAAACCGTTAATTATGCACCCTAGGACAACAACAACAGAACTATGTCCTAATTAGCGGTTGTGGCAAAAGATCAACGAAAACGGATAGTCTAAAATGAAGAACGTCTTGGTCAACGTACTTAAAAATAACAGGAGTTATTAGGCAAATTTCATACCCTTGATTTACGAATTTGTATGAAATCTAAAATAAGAAAAAGTATTTGTGAGCAATGGTATATCATTGAGAAATTATCATACATCGGCGCTCCAGACAAATTATGTTGGTGACACTCTATTCTCATTCATGTTTGCTACCTATAAAAAGCTTAGCGTGACAGCATCAATGGCTCGTCCAGGTAGGTCTCAACAGCTCCATGTCGATGATCTTCGTTGGATCAAGGACCCCCTTCAATTGAAGGATGAGCTTCTGAATGTGGTGGAGGCGTACAAGTCTGCGCAAACAGAGACGTTAAAGTACTATATGCCGTCTGCAGCTGAGGGTAGGACTCATGTAGAAGTGGCCTGTCTCAGCGACTCGGAGATGGAGCTG